CGTGGGAACAAGAGGTCAAAGCTATACAACTCCTGTCTCAACCGGAGTAGATATGCATACTGGATGATTTTAGGATGGATGCATTAGGATTTCAGTGTTTAGCATTGCAACTGTCTTCGTAGAACACTGCCCACTGTCACCCTCTTTTGTACCTCCCTCCAAGAACCTCGAATGAACCCTCTCACTGTCAAGAATCATATTATTTACAGCTAGAGAGAAAAATCAAGGACAATAGGACACAGCATGGGTTGGCAAAGGAAACCGTTAACTACAGATAAACAAGGGTGTTTTCCCCTCTGGTATTAATTGAGGAGCAGTAAGAAGTGTCATGACAGACACGGCATCCTCAAATGCCTTAGACTTCAGTGGAGGCCGAGAGGGGATGGAAAGCCTGGAGCCATATGTTGGATTACTTAATGGTACACAGCAGACGTGTGCATGGAAAATGTTGCATGAGACAGTCAGGGTTTCTCCTTTACACATCAGTCTTAGGACAAACCTCTTCTTGGCTTCTAAACAATGGTGACAGTGCAGAACTGGGCTACAGTGCTCATCACTTTATGCATTGCTTTTATGCTGTATTTTTTGAAACATTTATTATTTTTTATTTTGTGTGTATGAGTATATGACAGCCTGCACGTATGTGCACCCATGTCAGGCAATGCCTGCAGAGGTCAGAAGAGGGCACAAGATCCCCCTGAAACTGGAGATGCTGATGGTTGTTAGCTACCAAGTGGGTGCTGGGAACTGAACCTAGGTCCTCTGCAAGAGCAGTCAGTGCTGTTTACCCACTGAACCATCTCTCAAGCTCCTTACCATATATTTTAAAATCTATTTAACAAAGAATGGCAGCTTTCACTTGGCTTTCTGTCCATTTGTCCTATACACAGGATCTACTGCAAAGCCAGGATATGTCAGGATTATACAGGATGTTGAGCCAATGACAGCTTCATGCTCACTAGTGAAAGGGCCAGAGATATTTGGCAGGCTGTTTGAGATCACCCTTGTCTTTGGATCACATCAGTCCTGACAGACCTTTTAAACCATGGAAAAGTTTAGAATACTTCCAAAATAGAAAAAGTCTCTACTTCAGAACTACATTAAGTCACTCTATGACTATTAATGTAAAAACTCGCCTGCTTTCCAGGATAGTCACCATCATCATTGATATTCATTTCATACCAAAGATTCTATGCACATGAAGGTCAAAGCTAACTGAGACTCCTCTCAAGAGGAAAAATATTATTTTTAAAGTATTATCAATGCACACACATGTAGACACATAAATATTTATATGGAAACTCACTGCCCAGTCAGTGAATAGATGTGGGAATTGAACGATGTGCTTTGGAAATCGTTCCTGTGTGACTGTGCTTGCAAAGCAGGAGCTTGTATTTACTTTGCCATTTCTATCTGAGTCTAGTAGGGGAAAGGTCAATGTTTCATATACCATAAGCAGAAAGAGACTTTGGGTTCTGTCCCAGGTCACATAGAGGGAAAGATGAGAGCCCATGGGATTCAAGACCGCATTGAGTGCTTAAACTTAAAATAGTTTTCTTCACTCCCAGTCTGGTTCCTTATCATTTGGGCATGGGTGGCAGAGAATTCTATACCTTGGGCATGGGTGGCAGAGAATTCTAATTTCTGAACCTTATATCTAGCTCCCTTTTGTATTTTATTAAGCTGATGCACCATGGAGTTGAAATCACAATCATAATTAATGTAGAATTCTCTCAAAAGAACTTTGCAAACTTTCCAAGTATATTTTCCAATTTGTGTATCTCTTGCTGAACAGATTTTCCTAATGGAAATGGAAATTTTGATAGTAGTGGCCTTGACTCAATGTGTAGTTTTTCTAATTACTATTTCCTGTGACTAAAAGTAAAATTTCTAAATTCAGTGTGTTTGTGTATATTTGTATGCTTGTGTGTGGGTTCATACATGTTTTGCATGCATATGTAGGCCAGAGGACAGCCTCCTGTGTTATCCTCAGAAATGCCACTGGTAGCTCACCAGTTAGGCTAGACTGCCTGACCAGTGAGGCCCTGGTGTCCTGTCTCCACCACTCCAGTGCTGGGATTGCAACCCTATACCACCAAGACTGGCATTTTTATGTGTGTTCTTGGGTTTAAATGCAGGTCCTCATGCTTGTAACACAAACATTTTACCCACTGACCTATCTCCCCAGTCCAAAATAAAATTTAAGTTCATATTTAAGAATCAATTAAATAGGATAAACCTATAATATCTTCTTCACTTTCCAACAGTCAACAGGATGGGAGGGGTTTCAAAAAAGACTGAATAAACCCTTTCATGGTTAAGGTCAGTGAGCTCTAAGAGACGGTCACACTATAAGGAATGTGCTCTTGGTTGGTTTTATTGTTTTGGGAATATGAGATGTCTTTCCACAAGTCTAGGATATGACCTCCTACACACCCCACCTCTCTGTGGTATATACCACTGTAGTTAAAGCCACATTGATCCAAAACCGTACTTACCACTTTTCCACGATAATCACAGCGGCACAGTTAGAACCGCTTCTTATTCCCTGCAAACACCTGTTGTAGGTAAGAAGCAGAGCTTTTAGTAGGAAAGGCAGGACTTCCCATGAAGATCACACCCTTGACAAGTTGTCTGGGAATCAGGTATCACTGTTACTTTGGTGGACCTCCTTATTGTCTACTGAATGGATGACCAGGGCTAATTAGCTGCATGGTGGAGGTGTCAATAAGGAGTTCCTTTCTTATGGGACCTAGAATCTATTATCAATATGCTCTGTTGATCTTAATTTACCAAATTCTTCCAAACAGAAGTTACTTTTTCAACAGATGAGGTTTCAATGTAATATGCATTGTCTGTGTGTTGTAGGTGATAGGGTTCAGATCCAGGCGACCCCAGACCCAGAAACCATAAGGCCCCTGGGAGGAACTGAGTCAGCCAACTCCCAGCCTCCTACAAACTGACAAAAGAAGCTCTGGGAACTGGTGACCCAACACAATGTGATCACCAGAGTATGCTCCACAGGCTGACAAACAGGGTTCCCAAGCCCTTAGCTGCAGTGGGTTCCTGGAACCCTTTAACTATTGAAAACATGTTTTACAGTAGATGTTTCCCTCGATAAGTTTCACCAGGTACAGACACCAAGCCCTCCCTGAGCAGCCCCCAAAACAGCAGAAAAATATTCTCTTTTTGTGCATTCTTTCCCTTTATAAGCTGCTCCTCTGCAGCCATTAGGCTGCTGGTTCTTCCTCACACCCGAGGTGAGGACCGGCCCCGCCAACCAATTAAACTCTCTCTTTGCCAGAGTTGTCTCTGTTTCTGTTTTGTGGGCGATCCCAACCCTTGCCACCTTTTTATCTAACAGTAGGTTTATAATAATAAAAACTAATAATCCACAAAAGAGACATAGAATTCTCTTCTCCCACCCCCACCCCCATAGTCCCTTTTCACTTTCCTGGCTTCTATGCTTAGTCCACGTTATATACACAAATACTCAAAGATTTGAAGCCAGAACCACAAATAAGAGAGAACGTGTGGCATTTGTCACCAACATCGATGGGGGGAAGTTCATAAGGCCCCACACCTAGATGAAGAAATACAGGCTAGTGAGGGAGAGAAAATCAGTTTTCTTCAGAGACAAATCCCCTGGTAGGTTGCCCAAGCCTAAGTGGTCAATCCTAAAGTTAAAAAACATGTGGGCAACACTAACTGGACTCAGTAGGTTACAGATAGATTAGATACAAGACATAGATAGATTAGATAGATAGATAGATAGATAGATAGATAGATAGATAGATAGATGATTGATAGATAGATAGATACATACATACATACATAATAGATAGATAATAGATAGATAGATGATAGATAGATAGATAGATAGATAGATAGATAGATAGACAGACAGATAGATACATAGATACATAGATGATAGATAGATGATACATAGATACATACATACATAGATACATAGATATAGACAGATAGATAAACAATTATAATTATAATATTATGGAAGTGGAAAGCTTTTGCAATGTGTTAAGAACTTTGGAGCAGGGAAGACTCTGAGACAAGAGATAGGCATGGGGCAGGTGAGCAGGAGTCTAACCCCCTGCCAGGATGTGGTTGCCCAGGATGGAAGTCTTTGCTTCCCAAAGTTTTCACATTCCTATAACCTTTGTGGCCATATGTTACCTTGCTTAATCATCACATGTATCCTTTTACTGTCAGCTATGTGCTGTTTTGCCTTTTGTTTGCATATTCTCACATAAACATAAAAGCCCCCCCAAACTGGATGGGGCCGCAGACTCCCTTTTGGATCTCCATGGAGCAGTCCACTGGCATAAAATTAAACTCCCTCTCCTCACCTGACTTTGGCTATTGGTTTCTGATTTTTCCATAACAATAGAAGAAATCATGACTCCGGAACTTGAGAGAGGAATGTGGGGAACACAGGAGGAGCTGGAGGGGGAGGAGATGGCAATGCTATAAATTTTAATAAAAAAGAATTCTCAGAACTCTTAGTTACCATTATGTTAGTAAATTCAATGCGAAAAGCAAATTTAGAGACCTAAACAAAGGCCAGATTAAATCTTTACCTGAAATTTGTACATGTCAAAAATAATAGTCTTCAAAAATTATTTAGAATTTCACAAGGAAGAACTTTCTGTTAAGGAACATGTATGCTCATATGTTCAAATATACATCTCTCTATATATGTACAAATACATACATATATATATGTATATATTCTGATTACATTGGTTTTTTCTCCCAAGGTCTATAGATATTTCATATGCATCTCTGGACCAATCTATACTTCTGAAATTTGTTCTATTCAAAAAAAACAAGTAATTGTTTTCCAACATTTATATATATATATTTATAAATTTGTTCTCTTCAATTATTAAGTCATTATTTTCCCACAATATCTTTCCAACATTATCAACATTTCTACCATCTGATGTTTGTTCAAAATGAGAGAAGTTAAAATTTCTTACCATCCAAGCTGTGACAAAGTCCCCCATCCAGGTCCCTACGGCAGCTAATTTCATGAAACTTTCATTGCGGATGCCCATGTAGTCTGTAATGATATAAGCTCTGTGGAAACAAACACACAAGACATTGCCCAGACTCAGAGAGCCATCCAGTCAAAGCCTCCTGGGTCAGCACACCCCCGCCAGCCAGCAGCTCCCGTGCTGAGGCCTCACCACATATATTTATACATCTGAAAGGCAAGGAAGAATTTTGAGGGTGTCTGGATCCGTTTCAATCTGATCTGAAGACTGATTGTGAGTCTAGTCATGATCATGTGCATTTCACATTTGAGCCACAAGACTGGTAACAGCCTTGGAAAGCTCCCACAGAAATACTCAGCAAAAGCCACATCTCACATCCACTCAAGTGTGAGCAGAGCAGAAACAGTTTCAAAGTAGACAACTTGAGAGGGGAGAGAAGAGCTGACGTGGCTCCAGCTCAGTCAGCCTAGAATTACTGAAAAGGTGCTGGGCATGGATCACACTGCACTAATGTTCAAGTTTCATACAATGTATTTTGATCATATTTAGACCCCTCCCCTTTTTGTGCCCTTCCTACAGCCGGGTTTCATGTACTCTGTCACACAACACTGTCAAGTCCTAAGAAAAATGTCTGCACAATGAAGTAATGTAAAATTTGATACAAATATGTGTGATTTAAATGACTACTGAGTAATAACCAGAATATTCAATTTTATCATTTTGCTTTTGTATAATTCTTACTTGCTTGCAATAACATCAATTCGCACACTTCACAATTCAGAGGGAGTCAGGGGATACACTGAGTGTTGAACAGCAGTAACAAGACCGTGCTGCCTTGTATTAAACATTTCCTTTTCTACTTTCTCAGATTATAATTTTTGCTAATTATTATTTTCTTCATTTTAGAATTTCTTTGAGAAAACTGGGTCAATCGATATCTATAATCAATACGTGCTTGCCAGGAATCAATTTTCTCTCTTTTTTTCTTAACTGCCAAGTTTTTCACTCAGATTTTTATAAAATGCTATTCCTTTTCTTAGAAAGAATGATACCAAACAATTTAGAGAATTAGAGGAACTTGATTCTTCTTGGATTGCCTTCAGTTAGATAATGGTATATTTGTTGTTTATATACTTAAGTTATTTTTAAGTCTCATAGTCTGCTCTACCAAAAAATTTCAAGTGGATTTTCTAAATCGCCAAATGGAAAACTTTCAATTTTTACAAAAGCTCTCTTCAAATCAGTTGTCTTATTTATCAAGTAATTTTGGATGGTACTTTATCATTATAATAAACAGATTTAAAAAGTTTAACCAGTAAACCAAAATCTTTTAAGCACTTAAAATCATTCTTGTATCACATTTCTTCCACCTGTTTTGGAAAGTCTATGAAAATGTGTTGAGGTCTAATGTAAAAATGTTAGCTATCCAATAAATTGTATGCTTACAACATGTACTTTAAATAAAGTACATTCATCAACTTTCATCTAAGAGCTATGATGTTTTACCAGTAGTATTTCATAGATATGGAATCAACATCTAGAGTTTTGTAACATGCTCACAGTATGCACCTGTGAAGGGAAGGGATTAGAATCCAAATGTTCCCGCTTCTTAACACAGGCACTTACCCACTGTGCTGTACCTTCTTCCTACAAGTATTAGACAAGATGCAAAGGCATGCAAGAAATCTGCTTTCTCCCTGTATCTTAGTAAACAATGAAGATGAATATATAGCCTCCTTGAAGATGAATCAAAATAAGATGCCAGCAGCAGCCCTGGCTGCTACTCAGAGCTTCCACCAAGTACTGGACTCCCACTCATTTTAGGCTCTGAGGAGAGTCTACCTCAGAGCTCAAGCTGACTTGCAAGCTGCATGCTCTTCCACTCAGCAGCACCATCACAAACAGCTCTTGGCAGTGGACCATGTGCCGTGGAATACTCACTATGGTCGCTGCCCAGCAGCCCTGATGACACCTAATATGATGAATATGCTCCCAGTCCTTTTCCCATCTATCCATTTTATCAACGAGTTCTAAAATGCTTTAGGGTACAGTGAACATCTCAGGCAATGATTTTCACTGTCTTTAATAAATGTGTATTACAAGTGTACAGACTTAACATAAAAATAGTCAATTACAGGATGGAGAGATGACTTAGCAATTAAGAGCACTGGCCGCTCTTGCTGAGGACCTGGGTTTGATTCCCAACACCCACATGGCAGCTAACAACCATCTGTAACACCAGTTCCAGGATATCTGATATCTTCTTCTGACTTCCATGGACATTACACAACATGGGTGCACTTACATACATGCAGGCAATACACTCATACCCATAAAAAAATAAAGAAAATATTTTTTTAAATATTCAACTACTATTTCAGTTATTTGCATATGAATTAATATTTAACCATATTCTTTGGTTGGACTTTAAAGGACAGAGAATTCATGGTTTTTTGGTTTGGGTTTTTGGTTTTTTTTTTCTGGCAATTTAGCCAGCTTGAAGATCACTGTAAAAAAGTGGGACTTCATATACTCAGTGGTTTGGGGAACATTCAGAATTAGATATTTGCTAGAAGGCACTACTATAATTTTAGTTTTCTTTGGTGTATAGTTTGATTATTTCAACTAATCATATATCACGTGTACTTTAAATATCATTTCCAGTATTAATGGATCTATAAAATCATACATCTCTACCAGCCTTCCAGGTAAAATTCCTAAATTAATTTCTTCTTAAGATTTCACTTGGATTTTTTTTCCTGAGGTTTTCAAGCCTAACTGTCAAATCCATTAAAAATGCGTGGAGTCTTCAACATACAGCATCTTGTCATAACAGCTCAGCAACAAGAGCACCTAAGACTGTCACATGTGCAAGCCTACGTGCTAAATGGCTATATTGAACGGGCGCTACCAGGAGCTACGTAGTCAATGAAATGACAACAAAATGGATTGGACTCACAAGTGAGAGTCCTGACCACTAACAATGCAAGTTCCAGCTCACTTCCACCTATTATTTACACCTAAGTGGATGTAGTCAATGCCAGGTGATTTAGGGGGTGAGTCTCTGAAAGTTTAACAAGAGGCAGTAAACGTAGATCACCAACCCAGTGTGCATTCATGCTTCAGTGGAGATCCATCTGTGGCCAGCTGGATTCATAATCACAGCTGTCTCCCCCAGTCATGTTTGGGCAACACAAACAAGATTGGGGGCTTGATACACAAGTAAATCATGGGGAACAGGTTGACTTTCAAGAGGAAAACCCTGCATCAAACAATGAAACACTTGAGAAAGCTTTAATTATTCTTAACCAGTTGAGGTAAAAATTTATCACTATAATATGGCAGAAGGTCAGCACACATTATCGTATAAACCTTTCCAAATCTTTTGTCTGCAATAAAACAAGAGTTTCCAGTCAATCACTACCCAAATAACAACATTTTACTATTTTTTAACAAAGATTCTTATTCTTGACTTTGATGGAGTCAACACGCATATAGAAACCTTCCTAGTCATGCCTAGGGTATGAAACTATAGAGAAATACAGTCGTGTCAAAATGCTGCTGACAGTTGTTAAAAGCACCCCAGAATGATTAAAATTGCTTCTAGTCCTAACAATGCTCACTGACAACATGCCAGGTCTAATCTCCCAACATTAGCCATTCATTCCTTCTCATTTCCATATAGAAGACATGTGTATACCTAGCTTCCATTTTCTCAAACGATATAACAGTTCATGCCATCATAGGGTAAAACACAGATAAGAGGTCCCTCCAACCTCTGGGAGTTAAAGTTATCTTTCATTTTGCAACCTCTTCTCTGGCCCACCTTCCACCAGAAAATCAATTTAGCAACTTTCTACCATCCTAACACATTCCTTGTTCTCTTGGTCTGGAGGTCACCTTCTAACATCTGGACTCTGATTGCTAACTCAGCCTGTACCCTAAGAAATCCTCTCCCAAAGTCACCCACTTCCTGGTTTTGTCATAATACTTTGAATGTATCTCTGTTAAACAATTATCCAAACTATTTAATTCTTCACATTGTTCCTATCTCCCATGAAACGTAGTTCAAGAGAAAGAACGTATTTCATTCACCTAGACAGGGGAACATCTTTGCCTAGTGTATAATGTGTTTTAGGAGGGTAATGAACACTTAATGAATTAAGTAGAGATTGATTAAAGTAAGAAAATTACTTTAAAAACCTGACACCAGATAAAACTAAAAGTTACCTAAAAGTGTTAAAGGTGAAACCAAAGATTCACAATAATATAAGGTAAAATTAAAAGAAGCTAACAATGACAAATTGTGGGCCAAATAATTATATTCTAAGAAAAAGAGAGTGTACTCTCATTGCATCATGTCCATTACCCTTTCTAAAAAGAAAAAGAGGCCAGACCAAATTGAAATTAAGAGCATGCCTTAACTTTCTGCATCCTAATATTGAAATTACATTTACTTGGAATAGGTAGTTAACTAAGAATAAAAGGAAAAATATTGTAAACTTACTAAAATTATAGTTTTTTTTAAACATTTAAATGAGACTTGGTATCAATATATAGCTTATTTTTTAAAGATTTATTTATTTTTCTTTTATGTGTATGTGTGAGTGCTTGCATGTATGTTTGTGCACCACGTGCATGCCTAGTGCCTGAGGAGACCAGAAGAAGGCATCAGATTCCCTGGAACTTGATGGTTGTGATTTGTCATGTGGGTGCTGAGAACCAAGTCCAGGCCCTCTGCAAGAGCAGCAAATACTCTTAACCAGCGAGCCATCGCCCCACCTCTCCAATCCATAATTTAGTATACCAATTTGGTAGCTCAAGAAGTATGAAAGTCATATAGTAAAATACATTTATTTTAGTCGTAAGAATAAAACAAAGAAAATTTGTTTTACTGCCCTTCAAATAGAAAGTGCCAAACTACCTTTATAATTTGTACTCTTAAGTCAGGTTTCAGAGGTTCATAAGGTAAAAAATAATAAATCTCAAGATTAATTTCAAAGTAACAGAATTTTTGTTGTTTTATGTAAAGCTGTTTTCCTGGTTATTTTTTATAAACATCACAATCTGTCATCTAATTTG